TTTTGCCTTTTTGCCTTTGGGATTTCTCTGAAATTTTAGGGTCATTTACAGGTTTGGGAAGAGGGGAGGAAGTCTGGCTGTCTCTCCCTGCTGCTTCCATTCTGTGGGAACTCCCTGTCCTTTGCCTTCCTGATTCTTTCCACATTGAATTATGTGTTTAATTTGTGTAAATGGAATGTGTTTAATCTAATTTTATTTAATTCTGTGTTTCTCTCAGCTGCTGCTAGACTTTCAATAAGTTCCTTGAAGCAAAGAACTGGTAAATAGATACATTTGACAAATAGGTTAAAGTGTACTGTGTATTACAAATTCTAAAACCAGTTTATTTGAAATTGGGGATTTTCCCCTCCTTCATGGGACTGCGTAATAGTTAGATTTGGCTGTTTATAAATGTGTGATTGTATTCTAAACAATAGGATAACTGAACAATAGGCCATCTTGTATTGGAATAATAAAACTGGAGACAATACTATTTAAAACCTAGCATATTCAATAGACATGTCCCTTGAGGGGAAATTCTTTTTACTTTTTAAATTTTTTATTGAAGTATAGTTGATTTACAGTGTTGTGTTAGTTTCAGGTGTTTAGCAAAGTAATTCAGTTATATATACATACATACATATATATATATACATACATACATATATATATATATATATATATATATATATATATATATATATTGTATTTCTATTCCTCTCCAGAGTCTTTTCCATTATAGGTTATTACAAGATATTGAATATAGTTCCCTGTACTATACAGTAGGCCCTTGTTGCTTATCTATTTTATATATAGTGTTTATCTGCTAATCCCAAGCTCCTACTTTATCTCTCCCCACCCCTTCCCCTTTGGTAACCATAAATTTGTTTTCTTTGTCTGTGAGTTTGTTTCAAAGTTCATTTGTATCATTTTTTTAGATTCCATATATAAGTGATATCATATGATATTCGTCTTTGTCTGACTTACTTTGCTTAGTATGATAATCTCAAGGTCCGTCCATGTTGCCGCAAATGGCGTTAGTTCATTCTTTTTTATGGCTGAGTAATATGCCATTGTATATGTATATCACATCTTCTTTATCCGTTCATCTGTTGACGGGCATTTAGGCTGCTTCCATAGGGGAAAGTCTTTAAGCCACTCTAGATTCTGTATTTGGGTAGGTAGCAACATGGTGTTTCTACTTGGTAATTCTCCTACATCTCAGGGATCTTCTGATTAGTTGCGGTCAGACCATTTATATTCCTCAGAATCTTCAAGGAGATTCTTGCCTTTTCTCAGGCAAATGTTCTGCTGTTTTGTTCAGTCCCCTCTTGTCCTATCCAGAAACGCCATCACACCTCTCATCTCAACCTTCTTCTCTGTGTCCGAAATATTTCTTTAATGCACTGAAGCTATTTCTGAAATCCTGTTTCTTCAGGGAAATCTTTCATAGTTAAAAGAGAAATCTGGGGCTTCCCGGGTGGCGCAGTGGTTGAGAGTCCGCCTGCCGATGCAGGGGACGCGGGTTCGTGCCCCGGTCCGGGAAGATCCCACATGCCGCGGAGCGGCTGGGCCCGTGAGCCGTGGCCGCTGGGCCTGCGCGTCCGGAGCCTGTGCTCTGCAACGGGAGAGGCCACGACAGTGGGAGGCCTGCGTACCGCAAAAAAAAAAAAGAGAGAGAAATCTGGCCTCATCTTTATCTCTACTTATTATTCAAGGGTGAAATTTTATGAACATCCATAGTGCGTGGTTCCTTCACTTTACACTTAATGGACTGGTTTATCCTGCACATGACAACTAATATGAGTTGGTTTTGTTCTCGTATTTTGAGCAAAGAACTTGCTTGGCACAGTAAACATGAATTGCAATTCTTTTGGTCATTGGGCCTTGTTTATTTTAGGAAAGAGTTTATCGCATGTGGATGAACATGAAATAAAGTGTTATTAGGTTTGTGTTGGTTTGTTAGGGCTGTCATAACAAAGTATCACAGACTGGGTGGCTGAAACAACAGGAATTTATTCTCTTGAAATTCTGGAGGCTAGAAGTCTGAGATCACAGTGTTAGCAGAGATGGTTTCTTCTGAGGCCTTTCTCCTTGGCTTGTAGATACCTTCTTCCCCCTGTGTCTTTACATGTTCTTGTCTGTGTATGTGTGTCTCCTCTTCTTATAAGGACTCAGTCATATTGGGTTTGGGCTCATCCATATGACCTCATTTAACTTAATCACCTCTTTAAAGACACTACCTCCAAATGCAGTGGTGTTCTGAGGTATTGTATTGCTGATTAGAACTTCAGCATATGAATCTTAGGAAGATCAATTCAGCCATGACAGGGTTGAAATGTACAATATAGTTGTCTTAAATTTTTATGACAAGTTAAAACAAAAATTCCTTTTAAAGCTTAAAAGTAGGCAAAGGAAGAGAACCTTCTGAAGGAGGGGAGATTGTAAGATATTGGTTTGATCTGGCTTAAAACTGGCTAAGTCATTTCGGGCAAAACTCATAGTAGTTAGTCTTTTGTCCATACTTTCCCAATTTTTTGGATTCAATAAAACATGAAGTATCTTTTAAGTACCTCTAGGTTTCCATGATTCTATTTTAATAATAACTGTTTTGTAATTAGCCCTTACTGCTGATTTAGGAAGGTGTTTGGAGAGGAATTTTTATAATCTCATGTTTGCAGGGTAGAATGCAAAAGGATCAGGGCTTGTGTCAACAAACCTTAATTTGAATTTGAGCTCTTCTGTATTGAGCTGAAGAAAATGGCCGACAAAATCCTTCTCTTGGCATCTTACCAGCTATGTGACTGTGGACAAGTTATGCAACTTACACGAGCCCTAAGTTAGTCATCTATGAAATGGGAATAAAGTTGTAAGGAGGCTCTCCTCAGCTTTTGGCCCTTGTCACTGTTGACTACTGCAGCTGGATTCTGTGCAGCTGCCCCTGGCTGCCCCAGTGGCATGACACTCCACGCCTGCGGACTCGTGTGACCTCCACTGCCTGCCTACCTCACATGCCATGGAGGCCACCTGTGGCTCGAGGCCATCAAAGTAGAGCTGAGTTTATATCAGTGTCCCCAACCTTGCTGCTGTGTGACAGATCCCCTCTGATAGACAGATGTCACTTCAGGGAGGATGGGCTGGTTCTGACTAGTTATCATAAAATTAATTTCTTCTTAATCTTCTTTTCCTGTATTTATTTGATCGCCCCAAACGGTTATCAGGACATTGCTCCTCTTCCTACATCTTATCAGGAGGTGAAAGCTTTGGCCACTTGCAAAACTTTCAAAAAAGTGGGGCAGAGATATCGTTTAGCCTAGGATATCAGATTTTGAGATGCATGGACTTTAGTATTGCCAAAAGGAAGTGCCGGACCTACGTCTACTTTTCCTGGTTCAGAGTACCCACACAGAGAGCTTTCGTGAGAGTTAAATGAAGTGTGTGTGCGTGTATGTGTGTGTGTGCTTGTGTGTTTGGGTGGGAAGGGGACAGCAACATGCCTTCCACATACTTTATTCTAGTTAAATTGAGTTTTCATCCTTTGTTTTGGGATTGAATTTATATAAATCTACCTTTCAAAACACTAAGGTGGCTTTTATTTTTGGGCTTAAATAGATCAACTAATTCAGTATAAGATTTTCCAGTAAAACCATTAACGTGTTGACCAGAGAGTTCTCTATACAGGAGTAAAGAATCCCAAGTTCTTTTAGGGTTACCTATTTTAATCATTATATAAGAACATTAAAACACAACACTGTTGGCAGTAGTATTTGACCTGGAAAAATTCCCATAAACTAACCCATTTAACATTGTCTTTCTCTGGTACCACTGCTGGTACCTACTCCTCTAGATCTTGTATTCATCAGAACTTTTTCAGTTGCAAGGGACAGAAACTCAACACAGATAAGCTTAAGCTAACAAGGGATTTTATTTTCATTTAAGTAAAAAAATACGGGGGTTAGAAGTATCTTTAAGTAGGGTTAGATCCAGGGACATGTTAGCTATTACTGGGACATCTTCTTTGTCTCGAATAGATTTATTTTGTAAAACTGATCAGAAAAATGACTGCCAGCATCCCCAAGTTTGTGTCTTTATGACTTCTAACTGGAAAGAAAGAAGGGGACTTTGTCTTCCTCTGTTCAAATATCAAATATCAGGGAAGATTTTGATTGGTTCTGCTTGAGTCACATGGTCATCCCTGAACCTATAACTGGCTGATGATAGAATAGTGTGGCCAATCACTGTGGCAAAGCATCTTGATTGGCAAGTCCACTGGGATCACATGGGCTGGGAGAGGGATGGTGTTCCAGAGGAAGACTGCTTAGCAAACAGACAAACATATGTCTGGCACAGATAACTAGCATTTCAAGTCAGCAGGGGTTAGTGTTTATTCTTTTAGCTGAAAGGGAATGGGACGGTAACTGTCAAAATTGTGTAGGATAGGGCTTCCCTGGTGGCGCAGTGGTTGAGAGTCCGCCTGCCAATGCAGGGGACACGGGTTCGTGCCCCGGTCCGGGAAGATCCCACATGCCGCGGAGCAGCTGGGCCCGTGAGCCATGGCCGCTGAGCCTGCGTGTCTGGAGCCTGTGCTCCGCAATGGGAGAGGCCACAACAGTGAGAGGCCCGCGTACCGAAAAAAAAAAAAAAATTGTGTAGGATCCATTTGAAATTTCTTTTTTTGCATTTTTAAAAATAAAACATTTTTAATTATTTATATTTTAAAGGTGGTAAAAGATACAGCATATAAAATTGACCATTTTAACCTTTTTTTTTTATCGCAGTGTAATTGCTTTACAATGTTGTGTTACTTTCTGCTGTACAAATAAGCTGTGCATTAGATTTAAAATCTGCTTAAAAAGATGAGGACACACTTGAAAGATGTCCTTCAGGTGGAATACACATTGTATAGACAATCAAATAGTGGAGCATAATTGGCAATTCCTGAGGTTGATTTAAATGTGCGCATTGTTTTGAGTAAAGGAACAAAAATGACAATAATGGACCCTTTTGCTTTTTTTTGGTAGGGTTAGATGATTGCCTGCAGCAGTATGTCCACAAGTTTGAACGGGAGAAGATAAATGGAGAGCAGCTGCTGCAGATTTCCCATCAGGATCTTGAGGAGCTGGGTGTCACGCGAATTGGACACCAGGAACTTGTGTTGGAGGCTGTCGACCTTCTCTGTGCACTGGTTAGTTCAGGAAAAGGTGATCTGTACCGCCATATGTTTTTAAGAATCTCATCTTCTAAATCTCCACAGTTTTGCGCTTTAGCTTATCATCATTTTCTTAATGATCCATGGAAGTAGAGCATGAGCTGAAGATAATATCAGAAGGGAAGAAAAGAAATCATTTGCCAGGTAGAGTTGGCAAGCGATGGCCTACAAGTTCAATCTGGCCCGCTATTTTTGTAAATAAAGTTTTATTGGAACGCACCCACGCCCATTCATTTAAGTGTTATCTGTGGCTGCTTTTGTGCTACCGTGGCAGAGATGGGTAGTGGTAACAGGGACCGTGTGGCCCCTCAAATCCTAAAATATTTACTCTCTTGGCCTTTACAGAAAAAGTTGGCCTTTTATGGAAAAAATTTCTGTATTCATCTTATTTTCTTATCTTTTCAAAAAGAATAAAAAGATGAAGATGGTCCTGAATGAACATGTCATCTTCTATATTGAAATGACAAATGGGTTCTGATTTTCGTGTCTATTTTTGTTACTATAAAAAGAATTTTTATGTTTCACAGATATCTGTGATATTTCAATAACTGATACTGGTGCTTGGAATAATCAACCTGTGAAATGGCAGCTAGATGGGAAAAAATGTGAACTTAGTTACATTTCGCAGCTGACTGAGTTTTGGCTTGAACGTGAGTGAGTGAAATCCTGCCAGGTTCCGACTCGTCATTACATCTGTGGCCGTGTGGGTAGTAGCTCTTTTAGGTAGGGTTTAAAACCACCTCCAAGGGTACTGTGTTTATAAATTGGTTGGCATAGGGTGGGATCCTTGTCAGTCTGCTGTGATGCCATGCGAAGGATGCTGTTTCCTTAACTGTCAGGATTTGGGCAAAGTCGGCAGCATTCAGGCTGGTTTAGTTATGCTGTGAACCTGAGCAAGGGGTGTATACAATTATATCACTGAGAATGGTGGGGAAAAAATGTGCTCCCGATTATTTTGCCATTGCTGGTCCGCGTTCCATTGATTCTTTAACACTTGCTGCATTGTGCGTGTTCTTCTTCTTAAAGTGGATAGAGCCTTGTCTTCTGCCCTGAGATGTGCTACTCTTGTTTAGGGAAGTAGTGGGGAAATTATTTGTGGTTGATAATTGAGCTGCCACCAGGAAGATGCTGTGGCCAAGTGATGTGAGAGCTGGTCTGGGAAAGCAGGCTTTTGCATTTTAATCCAGGCTTTGCTGCACACTCCTGGCTCTGTGACCTCCAGGGAGATGGTGGTGTGCGTTTTCCCCGTTTGTACAGTGATGATCCCCTAGATGTGGCTGTGTGCTAACCTGTAAGTGTTTTGCACTGCCCAGAAGATATCTGAGTCCTGTTCATTATTAAAACTGTATGTTTTTCATACAGTAAGACATGTTTGAGTTTAGTCTTGTCCTTTCTGGGAACATTACTCTTTGGACTTTTCTGCTATTTCAGATCGTCTCTTTCACTTTGTGGTAGGACTTGGAGGGCAGGTCAGTAACTTTGAAATCCACAGTGTGGGAAGAGAGCAGGCAGGATGGACTGGAGGCGCGTTGTGGACCTCGAGTGGGATAATTAACATAACAGCTGCCTCCCCGCTTTCCTCCCTTCCCTACCTCTTAAAATATTAGACTAAAGTGAACAGAGCTGGACAAATGCCAGAACCTAAAGCTGTGTTTTATCTCTTACAATTTCCTCCTAATTTCCTTTGTAGACAAAGTTTTGACCTCAGACTCATTCTGGACATGTTTCATGTAGCAGAGTGCCAGTGAATGCATTTGACACCAGGGTCACAGAGAGTTCTTAAATGAATGTGCCTTTTCTGGGTTGGGGAGGGTTTTAGAGCATTTCACTAAAATATCTTTAGCCTTGCTATAATCTCATTTTAAAATATTCTTATGGTAATGCATCTATTGATTATACTGTGTTTAACCCATTCACACCATATAGATCTTTGTGTATATAAATAGGTGGTAAGTTTTTGCCTTGAACTGTCCATCCCCTGGACAGTTAATATGTGTTTGCTGTTGTCCCTGGTATTATGGAAGACATTTTTATGTAAACAGTTTAATGGATGTTGATTTTATGATGGACAGGAAATGAGTAGAATTAGAAGTAAGAGACGGGGAGGAAACAACAAAAACCACTGGAAAGTTTTGGAAAGAAAAGTGCCGATAGGCTCTTTAGGAATCTATAATAGGGAATAGCTATTGATTAAGGTTCCAAAACCGATGAGCAGATGGCCCACAAAGAGCTGCTTCTGGATAGGGAGCAGGGAGAAAAACTCCCTTTTGTGAACACTGACCTTGGCTGGCTGGAGCGGCTTAGGAGAGTGACTTGTTTTCTGAGGCAAACCAGGACCACTTCCCAGGATTGAGTTCAGAGTCGGAGCCCAATTTTTCTCCCTCTGTCTGGGGCAGAGGGTGACTGGGACCGGCTGTAGAGCTGCTTTTTCCAGTAGCTGTTAGCCACATGTGACTATTTACATTAAAATTAATTAAAGTGAAATAATAAAATTCACTTCCTTAGTCACAGAGCTACATTTCAAGTGCTCAGTAGCTACTTGTGGCCAGTGTCTACCATATTTGGATAGTACAGATAGAGAACATTTTCATCATTGCAGAGAGTTCTGTTGGGGACAGCATTTGTCTCTAGGGTGGGACTGAGAGTAAAAATGTATAATTGTGAGACCCATTTCCATTGCCAGATCAACCAAACCCTAGTTTCCTAAAGACCAAGGCAGGGGCAGATTTGTTTTTAAGGTTGATGTAGGCTGAGCAAGTGAACAAAGTTGGAATCCATACACGTATGAAGTGATGCCACCTACCTGTGTGCTTAAGTGAAATACCTGTAATGTATCTCCCTGCCCTGGGTGCTTCTGTGCACTCGTGTACCCTGAGTGTACCCCTGAGATGACTCACTGTTTATCGTTTACCCAGCCATGGCAACAGTTAAAAACTGGTATCCTTTTTGTTACGGGGAGAAATAGTGAAGGAGGAGGAATCTATTCTAGCAGTTTGTATTTAACTTGATTTTGCTTGTGAACTTATTAAACTGTGAAGTATTCTTCTCAGGCTGAAACTTAATTGACCCAAGTCAGTAAAATGGATTTGATCATGTGACTGTGAAACTCCTTAATCACCATGTATGTTAGACCACAGACAGAGTTAGTAGGAATGGGGAAAGAAAGTGGCAGAGAAGTTGTGTGAGGTTTGTCCTTAGCTAAAATGTGTACAGTTTATGACACCAGAAGAGTGAGCATCTGCCTCTTTCCTTTTCTCCTGTCTCATGTGTTGTTTCTCTAGCCAGACCAGGAAATGACCCCTGATGGTTAACTTCTAATGACGTGAGATCTCAGTGGAAGGTTTGTAGTACGTGCCTAGATTTTTGGAGATTCATTTCATTTCTTAGTTTGTACTGTCTTGATACCTTATCTTAAATTAAGCAATTTCTGAAGGAGACAGATATTAGGGAAAAGATTAGTGAAAATAATCAAATCTGGTCTGAGAAATTATTCATTTACTGTCTTTCATTGTGGGACACTTAAGTCAATAATCCTTTCCTGATTATGTTTCTATAGTAGAGGTTCTTTGGAGCTAATATAATCAGTTTCTCGATCTCTTCTTATTGTAGAATGGGGTGGAAGGGGATGGAATTTTCCTTCCTTTCTTTGTTCCTTCTTTACTGCTTTTTAAAATTATAATCTATGTAGAAAAAGCAAAACTACAGTGACAGAAAGATCAGAGGTTGCCAGGGCCTGGGGGTTGGGGAAAGTTGACTACGCAGGGGTATGAGGGATGTTTTGGGGGCGATGCAAATGTTCTGTATTGTGATTGTGATGGTGCTTATGTGACTATATACATTTGTTAAAATTGATTATGTCGTGCACTTAAAATTAGTGAGTTTTATGCATCATAAAGTATACCTTAATAAAGCTGATTAAAATCTCTGAAGTACCTTAAAACATAAAATAAAATTATAATCTATTATAGCTACATCTGTCTATCCTTCTAGTCCCGTGATTTGTTTTTTTTGGGGAAAAAAAAAGAATCAGAGAAACGGAATGGAAATGAAAAGAACCAGTTAACAAGCTACACTCCTCCTTTATTTTAATATTAAAAGTGGTAGGTTAGTAGAAGATTGAGGTTTAAAATTTCCTGTAACACTAAGATGAATTTAATCCTCTTTGAGTTCAGGAAATAAATTGTCTACAGTAATAAAAGTTCCGAGTAATTCATGGTGTCGTTGGCTATTAGAAAGCTGAGTTTCCTGCTTTTAGTTCCGAGCTCTTGTTATAAGTCGGCAGGCTGACTGAATAAGGGGACACTTCCCTTTAATCGTAGTCACAAGTGCTTCAAAACAGGCAGTGTCATGTGGCTCTTTATCCACTCAGTTTTGAGTCTTTGATTCTCTGATTTAAAAAGCCATGGTGGGGCTTCCCTCGTGGCGCAGTGGTTGAGAGTCCGCCTGCCGATGCAGGGACACGGCTTCGTGTCCCGGTCCGGGAAGATCCCACGTGCCGCGGAGCGGCTGGGCCCCTGGGCCATGGACGCTGAGCCTGCGCGTCCGGAGCCTGTGCTCCGCAACGGGAGGGGCCGCAACAGTGAGAGGACCGTGTACTGCAAAAAAACAAACAAACAAAAAAAAACCCAAAAAAAGCCATGGTGAAAATGCATCTTTTTATTTTTGTCTTCTCTACTGAAGGACAATGGACAATGCCATATTTTGGTCTCCAGAAAACGACAGTGGAAAAAAAAAAAGAATGAATATCAAGTTTAGACGGAACATCACTGTTAATACAGAAGACTCATTTTTGTTTTGAAATTTACATTTTTTTTTAAAGCTCACAGAGACAATTTCAGTTAATGCATCTGAAGAGGTTTTTTTCTTTATAATTGTTCTCAACGGTTTTCTATATAAATTTTTTAAAAAATATTTTTTATTTTCTAAAAAGCAACATGCCACATAAATTTAAACTTCACATAAAATCTAATTAAAGTTCGCAATGTTTTCATTCAGGGTATTGTCTTTTTTTGTTTGTTTGTTTTGTTTATTTTTGTTTTTTCGTTTTTTGGGGGTTTTTTTTTTTTTGCGGTACGCGGGCCTCTCACTGTTGTGGCCTCTCCCGTTGCGGAGCACAGGCTCCGGGCGCGCAGGCTCAGCGGCCATGGCTCACGGGCCCAGCCACTCCGCGGCACGTGGGATCTTCCCGGACCGGGGCACGAACCCGTGTGCCCTGCATCGGCAGGCAGACTCTCAACCACTGCGCCACCAGCGAAGCCCCAGGGTATTGTCTTTTGTTGTTACTGTTGGTACTTACCATTGTTCATCTTGCCAAAAGAAAAAAGTTCTCACAGACTCCCTGGTTTATTTATGCTTTATGTCTCGATTTGGGGACATGGCTCACTCCTCCCTGAGGCATTAGAGATGGGGCTGTAACAGAGGATGGACCAAGGGACAGGCTAGATGCAGTGAGGACAAAAGCAGTGATGAGATCCAAAGAGGGCCCACCGGCCTCTCAGAAGAGTGAGGTCCAGGTTCGCTGAAGCTGGCTGAAAGAACCTTCTAACACATCACAGGGGATGGAGCAGGTCAGGATAGAATTTAGGGGGGTTAAACAGTTTGCTAGTTTGTGCTAGATCCAGGGTGACTGGCCACTTCTCTTTTTTCTTGTCCAGTGCCCATCCTGGTTTCTGTCTCATCGCTTTGCCCGTACTTGGACAGGGAGTGTGGAAGGGGGCATATACAGCATCGTGACCCAAAGCTTGTACCCTCGATGCAGATTGCCTTGGTTAGAATCCCCCCTGACTCCCACCGATTATCTGTGTGACTTTGGAGAATTTATTGAATGTCTCTGTGCCTCAGTTTTCTCACCTGCAAAATAGAGATAATATCACTTCCACCCTCATACGCTGTTTTACCTGAGATAACATTTGCCGAGCACTAAGCCCGGTTTCTGGCATAAAGTGTTCAATAGTGTTGGCCGTATATTATAACCAATTTTTAAATGATACCACATTCTTGCTTTGGAATGCCATTGACACAGTTTAATATACCCCAGAAATATTTTCACTTTTTTCTTAAAAAAAGGATGAAACACCAATTTAGGATGTGTACACGCAGTTGAATACTGAAATTCATCCTCCCCGCAAAGTCATGTCAGATTTACATGTCGCTTCTTTTTGTTACTTGGGATTTGTTCTTTATCTGGAAGAGAGTAGTCTAGGGCAATATTGTCACGTGAAACGGAATTTTTAAAAGCACCCAGGTAAGTCAAACACTGTTCAGAAAGAACGGAGGTTAGAAGCTCACAAGATGGAAGTGACCTTCCAGGCGAATTGATGTTTAGTCAGTGCTGTTCTGTTTCTGTGTGACTTTTATCTGATGAAAATTCCTACATTCCATGACTGCTTTACGTCTGCTGTCCTGGAAATGCAGTCATAAGTAATACACACAGAGCCCAGCAATCACAGACCTTGCATCCGACTTAGAAAGACAGCAGTGAACAAGGTGGTTCAGAGATGACAGAGGTGATGGCTAGAGAGTGACCTCAGGAGGTACTTGGCAGTGTCTGGAGACATTTTTGTTTGTCACAACTGGGGACCGGATGCTACTGATACCTAACGAGTAGAGGCCAGTTAAACATTCTACCATCTACAGGAATCCCACCCCCCAACCCAAACAAACAATTATTAGGCTTTCAGTGTCACTAGGGCCCAGGATGAGGAACTGCTCCAGATGGTCCTGGAAGCCTTGAAGAGGAGGGGACACTTGGGCTAATTAGGATGTGATAGGAAAGAGCTGTCCATGCCAGCCTTTGTGGGAGGAGAATTTCAGGAAGAGAAACTGGCAAGACAAAGTCCCTGAGGCAAGGCTGGTGTGGCCCATGTGGGTGAGATCAACAGTGTGAGCAAATCATGTAGGGTTTTGTGGCTGACATAGGAGTTATTCAGGTAACTCAGTGGGTTTTTGGTTATTAGGAGAGTTTGGACATTGTTGATTGTTTTGAATTTTTCCCTTTGATTTTGTTTTCCAGAATTATGGCCTTGAAACCGACAATATGAAAAACTTGGTTCTGAAACTGCGAGCATCTTCCCACAATTTACAGAATTACATAAGCAGCCGGAGAAAAAATCCAGCCTATGATGGGAACACCTCCCACAAGCCCCCCAATGAGTTCCTGACTTCTGTGGTGGAGCTCATAGGCGCTGCCAAGGCCTTGTTAGCTTGGCTGGACCGGTAGGTGATGGGCGTGCTTTTCTGTCCTGTAAAAGGAGGGTCTGAGATGCATAGAAGTCAGTGTTTCGCCTGAGGAAGAGGAACCTTTATCCCTTTCTTGCCCTTGCCATTGGACCTGTCCAGGGGTTTGGGGTCAGTGGTCCACTTTAGGGTCCCTTTGGAAGTTCCTGAGGTGAATAGCAGGAACAAATTAACCTCAGCTTAGAGAAGAGTTAAAGTTACGTTTTACTGAGGTTAAACATTACTGGTTATTTGTTTGTATGAAGGCTGTTAGTTGACTTTTGATGGGATGTTCATTCTCTTGGCTCAGTTTTGGATGTGTTTTTATCTAGAACTTCTCTGTCTCTGTTCTATTCAGATTCCTATTTTGTGCGTTACTTGAGAGGAAACAGTTACATAACAATTGAAACCAGCCTGTGGTGTAGCTGTGCTTGTTAACACACAGTGTGGGATCCCAGTGGGTTCATCCTGTACACTTTTTTTTTTTTAAAGAGAATTTTCGTTGCTTTCTAGGGCTCCATTTACAGGGATCACTGATTTCTCAATAACGAAGAACAAAATCATTCAGCTTTGCTTGGACCTGACCACTACAGTCCAGAAGGTCAGTACATCACTGGTGTTTTCTAAAAGTTTTTTTTCCGTTTTCCTTTTCTTCAAAGGGTTTACATGCAGGTATGAAGTACCATTCTTTCTCCCCCTTTATCCCCCCATCAGAGCTGGGGAGAGATGAAGGGCTTTAAGTTAGATGAATTTACAGATAGTTTCTGTGAAAAATGACCAGTGACCTTTACATCAAAGATTACCTTCTTTTGCTTTAAAATAGTTGAGCTAATAGCCCTTTACTTTCTCTGAAATGTTAGAGCACTTAGTTTTTTTTTAAATAGAAATTCTGGAGTAACTACATTTCACCATAATCTTTGTTCTGAGTATGTTACTGTATCTGCTTGTTAATTTTCTTTTCATTTTGACCTCTGGTGGTTAGGTTTACCAGTCAGGAGGAGCTTGGTGGTGACTCAGTAACAAACAGCCCCCAAACCTCAGCAGTTTATTCCTGGATTATCTACATCCAAGTGGGTCAGCTGAGGGATCTGCTTCAGCTCGCCTCACTTCAGGTTGTAGGCTAACAGAACAACCAGTATCTTATATTGTTTGTCTCTGGGGCAGAGGTGCAGAGAACCTGGGTGATTCTCACACTGACAAACGTTCTGGTTTGGAAGTGACACGTCAGTTTCACACGCAGCTCATTTGCCAGACCTTCACATCTTAGCGAAGGCCAGGAAGATATTAACTGGCATGTAGCAGACTGCTGTAAAATTATTTTTGAATTGAGTTGAGGCCATAGAATGTAAGGAAGATCTTGTTCTTTTTTCACATCTCACTAGGTTGGAAAATTCCGTGATTGCACATTTGTTTCCACTGGTGATTTGGCAAAAAGTAAAGCACATCCTTTCCTCAGTTCTAACCATGCCATAAAATAGATGCAGTTCTGAAAAGCTATGTGCTTTCTGTCTGTTCCCGGAACATGAAGAGTGAAGTTTGGCTGCTGTTTTAAGGCCCAGTCCTGAGCAGCCCTTGAACTTGAGGCACGTGGGACTTCATCATTATGCTTTTGAGGCCATGTTCTTAGGAAAACGCTCAGAGCAGTAACGTGGCTCTGAGTTTCAGCTCTTTTTTATGGTGCATAAAATAATTTTGACGGAAAGAGTCTGATACCAATCACGGTGCATTCATCATGCAGCCACCAAGTCCTGGCATTTGCGGTAGAGGCTACCCAGGGGTACAGATCCCACTCAGAAGGGTGCCCACTGGGCATCCTCATCACACTTACCCCTGTTTACTGGGGCCGCATGATGCCTGGCCCATGATTCATGGTATTTTTTAAATGTGTGTTTAAACGAATGAGATAATGCTTTTGACAAATACGCTGTTGAGAATTTGTCGCTTATCAGGAAAAATTTAACCCAAACGTAAGGGACACAACAGGTATTGTTTCTATTTGTGTTTATTTTTTGTTTTTGTTTTCCCTTTGGTGCTCATTGAGTGTATGCTTCAGAGACAGACAGCTATGGGTTCAAGTCCTACCTCTACCATTACTTAGCCCTGGGACATTGGACAAGTCACTTCAAACTTATGAGCCTCAATTTTCTTACCCGTACAATGGGAATACTAACAGTTACCTTACCAGATGATTTGCTGGAATTTCTACAAGTTATTGTGGAGTAAGAAAAAAGGGAAAAAAAGTGTAAGAGGAAGACAAATGGTGACCAAAAATTTTTTAAATGTATGTATATATATATTTGTAATATGCAGTACATCTGAAAACCTATATACAAAGGAATATATAAATACAGTGGGAAGTTTGGAAGAAAAGTTGGGTTTACTTTGGCTGGAAGAAAAGTGGGGAGAGAATGTAGGAGGCAAGCCAAAGAACAGAAAACACTTACTCTTTTACAAAAAGCATGTATGTGACCACATTTACTTATTCATGCAAAATTAGTTCTAGAGAATTAGTATAGAATATTTAAAAAATAGTAATACCTACCTCAAAAGATTATGAAGATTAAATAAGATATATGTATAGCACAGTGCCTACTTAAGAAATAATAGCCTATAGTAGGAAATATAAAAAATATAAAAATCTTATATACTGCTTTTCTGGAGCCGAACTTGATGGCTTAAGAAGAAGACAAAGTTAACAAACATGTTGGGATTTCTGGTACTTTTTAGTTTATTTAAATTTGAACAACTTTTAAGGATTAAGACTGGCAGTGTGTAAATATATATGGGAATGTCATTTTGTGAACTTAGTTTGAAACACATGTTTAGCTCTTGACGGACGTGTGTTTTCTGTAGTAATTGGAGAACGTAGTCGCTTTGGCAAGTAGTGAAATTTGTTGAAGGATGAGTGGAATGTCTTTTTCCACGTGTGGTGTCGTGGCAGCAGCAAGGCTGAATTTGCCAGGGGTTTCACACCCTCTCACAACTGCGAGAAGGGCAGTTTTTCTCCAGACTTCTTGGCAAAAGATCTTTTGACTCTTTAGGAAGAAACCTGCCTTTTCCATTTATTGCTTTTTTTTTTTTTCCCCTGGGGAATTGAAGGAATAAAAGCTGTGTCTCTTTATTTCTGGTGACAAGGAGCATGTTCTCCTAGAGTCTTTTTTCTCTGTGTCCGTGTGCGTGAAGACAGGCGTTTGTTTGTCCCTTTTCTTCTTTCTCTGTTCCGCATACTGCCACTGTCCCCGCCTCTTTCTTGTTACTTTCTCTGCATCCTTCCCTCTGATGACAGTGTGTACCTCTCCAGATTGGAAGGATCAACAGTTGTTGTTTTCTTCCTCCATAAGAAAAGGGCACTGTGCTTCTTCCTTGTGCTAATTAACTTTTTTTCTTTCCTTTTTTTTAGTTGAGGTATAGTTAATTCACCATGTTGTGTTAGTTTCAAGTGTACAGCAAAGCGATTCATTTACGTCCCACGCCGAGTCCGTGGATAGACCTTCCATCCAGTTTTCAGGCTGTAATTTCAGGTGAAGTCCCCTGGTGGGAAGGGATTCTGATCGCTTTCTTTAATCTGTCCTCCTGAAGTTGCGAGGGCCTGAAAACTGGCAGGAGACAACATGGCAGTGGCAGATGCCGGGTTCCAGTGTAGGAAGAAATGCTGAGCAGTAGAGAGCCCAGAAAGACTGAGTGGAAAGAAAGCATACCATCCAGCAGAGGAGGGAAAGTCAGGAGACCATTTCTGGGAGCTGGTTGGGTCTCAGGTGTGGACTGTCTGCTTGACGTCTGTTGTCACGTTTAATTCTCAACAGTTCTCTGAGACAGGTTTTATCATCCTCACTTTACAGAGAAGGAAACTGAGCTGTGGAGAGGTTAAGCCCATCTCCCAAGGCTCCTCAGTTAGTAAGAGAGTAGAATAAGGAAGAGTGGCAGAGAAGGGGCAGCTGCTAGCTGCCCTGGCTGGGTCTCTGCCGGGTTGATTGGCCTGAGTCTGCTGATTCAGGTGACCAAGGAATGTGACAAAGCTCAGGCCTGCTGTCGGGGTCATGAAGGGCTGACTTGCTTCCAGTTCTTCTTTTTCCCATTCTGTTGCCTTCATGCCAAATAGCATTAAGTCAGGCCTGCAGCTGCTTCCTCCCGGTAGGAATGGGTGTGGGAACCCACGTTCACGGGGGCGGAAGGTAAAAAGCGGCGCTTTCACACGCTGCCTTGGACAGTTCGTGGAGACAGGCATGCTCCTGTCCCACTGGCTCCATCACCACAGGAGCCCCTTTTCTTGGTGGCTTCTCGGATCCGTCAAGGAATCAACCATGAGGTCACACATGCACCTTGATGCTTGGGCCCCAGTGTATGGACAGGAGCTGTCTGCCGGTGGGTGATTACCTCCTGTGGACGACAGCCCTCTTGTCATTTGGGATGTGCAGTGAAAAATCATAAACACAAATCATTAGTTTTATTTCTAGCACGAGACTGTGTAAGTATTCTGTTTTGCTAAAGTTGACATTTATTTGAGAATTCTGTCCTTCAGGTGGTGTGAGTAGGGGAGGGGCCATCACAGTAGTTGACGGTTTAGTTCCGTGCACAAGTTGGAGGATGAAAAGCACAATTTTGAACTGTAGTCATTCATATTTTACAGCAGTTGTTCCTGGAGTTTGAATTTATATCTGATTCACACATGCAAAAATACATTCCTAAGTTTCCTTTTTTTAAGTGTTTTCTCACTAGGCTGCTCTTTTCCTGAGAGTCTGTGTAAATTTTGGGAGCAGTAGAGTGACTATTATTTCCCACATTTTTACCTAGTAGAGAAAATTTAAAAACCTTTTAAGAAGAACGCACCTAACGTCTGATTATAAAATCACATAGGGTAGAATATCATACGTTTTTACCCCTACCCGCAGTGGCAGTAAAATATGACCTAAAATGACATTTTGATTGAAGTGAACATCTTTGTCTGATGAATGCAACAGACTTGATCAGTATCCTTCCTGAACATAACATGCTTCGCATTTTCCTTTGGGTGCCCCAGTTTGGGATTTACTGAATGGTGCCAAATAAACTGTCAAAAATCTCGTTGATCTCCCTCTTCTGCATGCACTCTGCCATGTTGATTGAAATCTGCTGTAGGTACGCTTTAGAAGGTTAACTGAGAGTTTCACGTTCCTCCGGACAATGGTTATTCCTATAATCAGCTAACTGGGTTCACAGGGTTCCGAGTCTTTTGTTCTTAAGCTGAGTAAACAATGCTTTGCATTCCAGCCCATTCTTTAATGTCATCAGTAGCATGCCTCAAGACCACTTTTCTGGCAGTGTGTTAATGAACGGTTTGTTGAATGCTTTTCATCTATTAAGGACTGAAATATCTGATTTAATCTCAGTGGTGCTTAAAATAAACTCTGTGGCTAAGTTTACTCAAGCCCTTATTTGAAAGCTATTCTTATGGGCAGGCCCAGAGCGAAAGACTCCAGGCTTGTTGGCCCAGTGCTAGCTCAGCCTGGGGTCACATTTGAGAGTCATTGTCAACTTTCTTGGACTCTGACTTCTAGCTTCCTACTCTCTGTACAGTCTGGATAATAGGTGGATTTTCAGTTCTGGTGATTTTTGTAGGCTTTCTGATTAAATAATTGGGCAGATGGGTTCCTTGGATGATTAGCATCCTGGGTCAGGAGAGATTGAAATCTTAGGAGGAGTCAAATGTCAGCTCCTTTCCTGTCTGCCTCTTTTCCCATCCAGGTCTCTCCTCCAGATGGTCCAGGACTGCTCAGGCTGCAGCGTGGGAGGTGTGTCAGGGACCTCCTTGGACCCCAGGAAATACCTAGTGAGCTGAGTCAACGGTTTCTGAAAGTTTTTAGCTCTTATAGTTTTCATTTTCTTCTTTCTTCCTGTAGGATTGCCTTGTAGCAGAAATGGAGGATAAAGTTTTGGCTGTAGTAAGTATACCTTCTAAAAGTTACAGTAAAATTCCTTTTCCCAAAACAGTGGGAATCACATGAATTAAAGTAAATGTCCTGTGGCTAATTATTTCAGGATATGCTTCGAAATATCGGCTTTTGGGATATGAGTCTATTAATTTAGGTGGAAAAGGAAGAATAAAAATTATTTAACAATAAGACCAACTCCTGTGGAAATTCCTGTGCTTAACTTGGGTATATTGGGATCTCTGCTTTACTCTTTTTTTCCCCGCTCTGAACCCTTCAGCAGGGTACAGTTATACTTAAATTACTAACTAGCCTGTTAATCAGGGTGAAACTGATGTGCAAATTTCACTTTAGGACCATTTTGTTTAAAAAAAAAATCTTGGCAAAAACCTTATGATAGAGGGGGATGTGCTGTGACTGTTTAAAGAGCATTCTGTAACTATTCATCATCGCTTCCTCCTTTTGACATAAGCCAGCCTGTGCTCTTTTGATAAGGCCTTCCTCCTACTGGTGTTGAGGAATTTAGCAGTGAAACTTCTATAAATATATTTTCCATAAATAGGGAGGCTAAACACATTGGAGGAATGTAAAAAGTGTCACTTCTTGGATTCTCCCCATTGGGGAAAAAAAAATCACTCTTTGGCATCTGCTTATTTCCTTAGTTGTTTAATTTTCAAAGGTTAGATGAATCTGATCGGGAGAAATAACCACACGTAGCCACTGTGATTTCTACACGAGGACCACTTAATAGGGATCCTCACGTCTCTACAGTTGTACCTGCTCAGTGTTTGGCGTTCAGAGAATGTGAGCCATCACTAAAAAGATCATAGACCTAAATGTAAAGCGCAAAACTATAAAATGCCTAGAAATAACAGGAGAAAATCTTGGTGACCTCGGGTTTGACGATGAGTTTTTAGATACAATACAAAAAGCGTGATCCATGAGAGAAAAATGGATAAGGTAGACTGCATTAAAATGAAAAACACTGCTCCATCAATGCACTGAGAATGAAAAGACAAGCCATGGACTGGGAGAAACTGTTTTCTGAAACACATATCAGATAAAGGACTTGTAGCCAAAATACACAGAGAATTCTTAAAACTCAATAATAAGAAAACAAACAACCTAATTAAAAAGTGGATAAACGATCCGAACAGACACCTCATGGAAAATGATATACAGCTGGCAGATAAGTATATGAAAAGATGTTCAACATCATGTTTCATTAAGGAATTGCAAATTAAAGTAACAACAAGGTACCACTCTACACCTATTAGGATAGCTATTATCCAACACATGACGGCACCAAATGTGGGGCAATAGGAACTCTCGTTCATTGCTGATAGGAATGCAAAATGGTACAGCCACACTGGTAGACCCTGTGGCAGTTTTTTACAAAACTAAACATACTCTTACCCTACGATCCAGCAGTTGTACACCTAGGTATTTACCCAAATGAAAGAAGCTTATATCACAAGAACCTTCACAGAATGTCATAGCAGCTTTAATCCTAACTGCCAAAACTTAGAAGTATCCAGGATGTCCTGTAGGTGACTGGTAAACAAACTGGTACATCCAGACAATGGAATGTTATTCAGCAATAAAAAGAAATGAGCTATCAAGCCTTGAAAAGGTATGGAGGAATCTTAAATGCATATGACTAAGCGAAAGAAGCCAATCTGAAAAGGCTACATACTGTATGATTCCAACTATATAGGATTCTGGAAAAGACAAAACTATAGAGACAGTGAGAAGATGGGTGATTGCCAGGGGTTCATAGTAGGGGAGTGGGGACAGACAAGTAGGTGGAGCAGAGGGAACTTTTAGGGTAGTGAAGCTCTTCTCTTTGATACTGTGATGGTGAATATATGACATTATGCATTTGTGAAAACCCGTAGAACTGTACACCACAGAGGGTCAACCCTGATGTAAACTACAGACCTTAGTTAACAATAATGTAACACTATTGGTTGATCAGTTGTAACGCAAGATGTTAATAAAATCTTGTTATTATTAACTGTTATAATAATATAACTGTGTTGGAAACTGTGTTGGGGTAGGGGAGGAAGTATATAGAACTCTTAATTTCTGCTCAGTTTTTCTCTAAAAACTGTTTAAAATATAAAATCTATTTAGAAAAAAGGTGCAGGGCTTCCCTGGTGGCGCAGTGGTTGAGAGTCTGCCTGCCGATGCAGGGGACACGGGTTCGTGCCCCGGTCCGGGAAGACCCCACATGCCGCGGAGCGGCTGGGCCCGTGAGCCATGGCCGCTGAGCCTGCGCATCCGGAGCCTGTGCTCCGCAACGGGAGAGGCCGCAACAGTGAGAGGCCCGCGTACCGCAAAAAAAAAAAAAAAAAAAAAAAAAGGTGCAGGCAAAAGTATATATTTTTTTACCTTGTCCGTATTTGGTATGCAGAGAATGCGAGCAATCCCTAAAAAACCACACAGATGGCTGGGGAATACAGGATTCTTAACTGCTGAAAGGGGGTTTCTGCCCAGCCTGTGCGCTTCAGTGGTTGTAAACGAGTTAATATAAAAGGTGCACTTTTTAAGCAAAGCTGAAATAGTGGCACTATTCCCACACACTGCAAACATGGAACCCAAGTGCCATGTGTTCACTGAGCAGTATTATCGCAGTACTAATCACAACCAGAGCTAAAGATGATAGGTGAAGTGCGTTTAAAAAAAAAATTCAGCCGGAGATAAACTTGGTTAATGATTGAACCTTCCCTGTTTGCCTCTCCAACCCTAGGTCAAGGTTTTAAATGGCATCTGTGATAAAACAATCCGATCTACCGCGGATCCTGTTATGAGCCAGTGTGCATGTCTGGAGGAAGTTCACTTACCAAACATTAAACCTGGGGAAGGCTTGGTAAGATTTCTGACAACACTTGTTTATTTTCAAATAACATCATCGTTTATTAAAGTTGGTGTGTATGTGTGTGCGTGTTTTTAAATTCCTTATTGCTTTCACTAGAATTCTGAATAGGAGAATTCAGTTAGACTGTCTGTCTTCCATTATGTAGTTAGGAATTTTCCATCTTGAACTGTTGATAAGTTTTATGTCTTCAAAGTATAAAAATGAATAGTGTTTTAAAACTATATACTCATATCTCGAAGGAATTGTCTCAACAGTTTTATTTTTAGGTCTTAGCAATTTAAGGAGATAGAAAACATTTCCACAAAGGAAAGGTGGTCTCTGGGTATGAAACAACATCTGCTTTGAAGTCTCTGTTACCACTTAGGCTGAGAAGAGACTGGCTGAAAGAAATTGATTCTTAAGAAGTTCAGAAATGCTTTAGAAGTAATGTATGAGCTCTGTAATAACAGGCCCTGAGAATACATACAGGTAGATTCCTAGATCAGCACCTAGGTACCTACATCTCCAAATACCTAGCATGCAGCCGATATGGTTAATCTGCTGAAATTTAAGTGAGGAAACGGTGAGGCCCATTGATGAGCTTAGAGGCTTTGAGTCAGAGAGTGTGGTTCAAATCCCAGCAGTCAAGTGACTTTACCTCTTTATGTGTCAATTTCCTCATCTGTCAAAAGTGAATAATAATAATGATAATAACCCTCACAGGGTTGTTGAATGTATTAAATTAGATGATGCATGCTGAGCGCCAGATGCTGGACGAATAGTATGTGTGCAGTAATTGGTGGCTGCAGCTACTGTGGCTGGTATTGATGAGGGGGGAAGGGGAAGGGAGAGGGGGAGTGCCTAGTGTGTAGGTAGCTGTGGGAAGATATCAGGGCAGTCTCTGCTCTCAGGTAGGGAAACAAAAATCAACCAAATGTTGACAAGCCCACATGCTTGGTAAGGAGAAATGTACATACCGAGACTGCTTGGCTTCAAAGTAAATGATGGCTTATAATGGAGTACACACAGAGGACTTCCTAGAGATGGGTTTATTCACATACTGAAGCGGAGAACTGCCTCGCGTGGGCAGAAATGGAGTTGCCATTTCAGAAGGTAAAGTTATACGAGCAAAGCTCTGGGAAGAGGAGTACTGTGTGGAGGGGGAGGCCAATCACTCTGCCGATGAAAGTGATGGGAAAGGAGAGGACAGGCAGAACCGTGCAGGTGTTAGTATTGGATGAGGCGCTCATTGCAGAGTGCGGTATGTTGCCGAGCAGGGCAAGTTCACGGTCAAAATGACTTCTGAGGAGAATCTGTGTTATTATCAATACAATATTGGTACCAGGGTGAGCAACTACTCTTTGCTCTGTTTACTTTTGCTCTCTCCCCATCTTATCAAAGTTTAATAAACCTTCTTTTTTATACATGCTGTGTCAAACTACAGAGATGTTTCCTCCATGCTAGGCATTCACCTCTGAGTTTGACGATCGGGCCTTTGAGGAAGGAGATTATTCATCTGTACGCCCCCCTTAAAATGCAGGAGTGCCTGCTTCTAATTTATTTCCTATGTTGTGTTACTTAACAGTCTTTGCTCATACATCCTGGTCTGGTTGGTAGTGGCTTGAATAAGTTACCGTGCGGGGACTGCTGAGACCAAGTTAACTGAATATATTGTCTCACTACACAGAGAAGTGGTCGGGAGAGGACCGGCCTTGTTTGAACTGCCTCATTCATTCAACAGGTCTGAGAACATTCTTTCTGAGTCCCCAGAGTTAGACCAAAATTCTGTGCGCCTGGTACACAAATTATAATATCAAAGAGATCTTGTTTCTGATTTGTTTCACCAGTATTTCGCCTTGGTTAGTTCCCCTTCCTGCTCTGTGGATCTTGCTTTGCAATGTTTCAGGAGACTGAAAACTGAGTCGTGTTCTGAAGGGACTGCCCTTAATGTTTTATAAGTTTACGTCTCACTTGCGGCTCTATTTCTACATGTTGGAGTAATGAGTTAATATGTCTGACTCACTCTAGGGCATGTACATCAAATCAACCTATGATGGATTGCACGTGATTACTGGAACCACAGAAAATGTAAGTGCTTATCCATTAAATGTAAAACCATTGTATGTTCCAACAGATTTGACAGAGTCCCTATACTCTTAAATGTGTGTGTGCTGTTCTATTGTATTATCTGTAGTGGGAGCAACCGTGCCTATTTTGTTTATGTCTGTGGCTAGCATGCAGCTTATCCAGCTGTCGTCAATGTATTATTTAAGTTGTCCTTTATTGCTCTTGTTCACACACCTTGCCCAGTTTTACCGCCACCCTTGCGTTTATTATTATTATTTTTGCACCCTGAAAATGTTAACCCATAAATACAAAAAACAAAGATCTCTTTGTTGTTGAGAATTCCTCTTGTAAGAGCTAGAATTGGTGACCATATGTGTAAAATATAGCTTTTTAAAACTGGAATTTATATATGTCACCAGAGTGACTATTTTGGGATTTTTGCATGACAAAGATTCTTTTTATAGAGCTGTATTTCATAATATTTGCATGATATTGAAATTTAGTTTTTCTCCCCCCCTAGTCCTTTGAATAGAAAAAGCAGGCCTGCTTCTACTGAAAGGGACTTTGTACCCTGTTATCTTCCTTTTGAAAATTCTGCTACATGAAAGGTTTTTCTTTAGCCCCTCAAACGTTTTGAATTTGTGAAAAGTAGAGCTAATTGAATACTTTCTTTATGCAACCTACAGTATGGCTAGCTTTTGAACGACACTGATATGATGAAGCTAGAAATGTCTGAAAAGCTTCCCTGCATCTGTGGAAAAGAAGCATGTGTCTATGGAATTAGTTACTATTTAATCAATTAAGACAAGAGGAAGTAATTCAAGAAACAAGAGACTTGGCAACTACTTTTCTAATCTGGTGGAAATATGTATCGGAGTTTGAGCTTCAGCCGCTAGGTCTGTTGATAAAATAAAATAACATGATCTTTGATGAGGGTTTGTGACACACACTTGATTTTTGTAATAAGAGAAAAACGGCATCGCTTAAGGCAGTCAATGAGTTATAAATTAATTGTGCAGTTCTGGGAGATGAATGAATAGAAGATGGTAGTGTCTTTAAGCATTCTTTGTTGAGCTCTACTGAGAATACACTGAGACCATTGGGAATTTTTATACCGCCTCACCTAATAGGCAATAATGGCACAGGACGTTCTCCTTATAGGCTGGGGATGGTGCAAAAGACAAAAAAAAAAAATCACAACAAATGCTCCTCCCTTATCCTTATCAGAGACTTTATATATTTTAGCTGAACCACAATGAGAACAGAGTCATGTACCACTCAGTACATTTTGCGGGGGAGGGGCTGGATAGATTCAGAAGAATGGTGAATGTCGTTTCAGTTTTTTTTTTTTTAATTAATTAATTAATTAATTTTTGGCTGTGTCGGGTCTTCGTTTCTGTGCGAGGGCTTTCTCTAGTTGCGGCGAGTGGGGGCCCCTCTTCATCGCGGTGCGCGGGCCTCTCACTATCGCGGCCTCTCTTTGTTGCGAAGCACAGGCTCCAGACGCGCAGGCTCAGTAGTTGTGGCTCACGGGCCCAGTTGCTCCGCGGCATGTGGGATCCTCCCAGACCAGGGCTCGAACCCATATCCCCTGCACTGGCAGGCAGACTCCCAGCCACTGCGCCACCAGGGAAGCCTTCATTTCAGTTTTTAAGAGAGTTAAAGTTTTGTGTCTAGCAGTTTGGTGATTGCATTAACAACCAGACCTGTGCAGTTCCAGACTCAATCGGGTCTTTGAATCAATTTCAATCTCGGCAGAACATGTTGAACACTGTAATAGTATTACCAGAAGGTACACAGATTTCTTCCTTTCACTGTCTACCCCTCTCCCTCACCTCCCCCCTCTGCCCCCCACCGCCACTTTTAAGGATGAGATAACTAAACAAAACTGCCTTTGAATCAAATGAAATGTCAAATGATACATTCTGTAGAATCCCTATGAGATCATATAGGACTGGGCGAGAGATTCAGGGTTCACCTGGATGTGGTCGATCCTACTGCTTCCGTACAGGATGGTAAACAAGTCATCCTAGAGAGAGGTGGTTTCCATCTTGTTGAAGATCAAAAAAGGGAAAACTTGTTTTTTTCCATCTGGTAATCCACTTGAAAATGTCCTTCATTCTTTCAGTCAATCACCTTGTGTTTATTGTGTGTCTGGAATATGCCAGATACTTTCTAATTCTTGTCGATGAAAGTGGGAAGTTAGGTAAGAGTCCACTTCTCGAGGGCTTGAGCTGGATATTTTACACTTAATGCTGGACATTTTACACTTAAATGACAGTAGAAAAATGCCAGCTCCAGGACAACTTTCTGGCTATCACTTAAGGTCGCTCTGACTTAAGCGACCCTAAGTCAGAATGTTTTAATGCAAGTCTAGTGTTGGGGGGTGGTAGTGGACAGAATTCCCAAACTGCATTCCCTCTATCTTGGACTCCAGGCTGAAGCAATGCCAGCAGGTCATCTCAGGCCTCCTGTCCACTTTTTCTGGGTTTTTCTGGAGGTTACCTGAGCAGCCAGGATCATTCCAAGGTGAGACTAACAGGATCTAGTGATTCTCTATCTTCTTTTTTGATGTTGTTCAAGACCTTGGCAGACGTCTTGATAGGACCTCATCCGTACGCCTATCCCCCACCCCCAACGTGAGTTGGGAAGGAAGTGAGCCTCTGAAGAATGGATGCACTCTTCCCCAGGTCATCACTCTTCTGCAGCAAACCAGAACAAGCATCATTTTTCAGTAGTCCGGCACATGGTAGAGATAGGCAAGAGCTACTGCCCTAGGGAGAATTTTGGTTATCAGGCTCTCTCTTTACCAGTGTTCTGCCAAGCACAACTCTTAATCACTTGGTAGGATATTTGAGAAATGAATTGGAGAGGATCCTTAGGAAGGGAAGTCAGTTCGGGACACACCGGGGCTTGTTTTTGAGATTGCATATCTATAAACAGGGACTTCCTGGCCTCAGGGCCGTCTTTTAGAAAGTGAAGCTACCTTAGAAGAATCTCCAGCCCGGGAAGATTAACTGGACTGGACTGATTACTATCAGACTTACTAAAGTTGATCTGTAACCATGGGTTAGGCATCTGACACCAGGGGCTAAAAGGAGCTTTGATACATTCGTTTGTTTAAGAAGTGCTTCAGTAGAAAGAGATTTGAGACAAGCCATCTCCCTGTGGTACCCACGATGCTAGTCTCTTAGGTGAGGCACTGCTGGTTGTTATGGTAGCAGGTTAAATGCTTTCAAAAATAACTGTTATAGTTACCTATGCCTTACGTTGGCCCTAGGTAAATCAAAGAGACTGTTTCTACAGTTTAACACTACTTGCTCATTTCCTTTCTTTTCTCTCTCTCTCTCTCTCTCTCTTTTTTTTTTTTTAACTTGCTCATTTCTTTGTTGAGCCTATCACAACAGCTGAGTGAGAAAATTCAGCAAGGGTGTCTTGAGTTTAGTTGCTGTCCCCATCACTGTGTTCAAAGATGCTATTTTTAAAGGATGGTTGTAAATTGAAGATTCAGTCAGCTATGTAAGTCACGAAATAAAACACTCTGACTTAGATAACATTTGATTATAATTTGAAATCAAAGTTTGATCCTTTCTTTCTCTTTTGATCATATGAAATATCTTTTTTTACATAGTTCTGTTTTATTTTATTCCATGCATTTGTTGTTTTTGCAATTAAATAATAATAATAAACTTATACTTCTAGGAAGGATTAGACATTACTCTTATTCTAAAATATTTTTCAGATTTCATGTACAACTAAATGCCAAAATGTTTAAGTCTGAAAAATATATTAGTGAGAGAAAAAAATTTGAGATGAAATTGTGGCACAGATTCCTTTTAAGATGAAATAATCACTTCAACATATAATTATAATTTGGCAGGAGAAAAATTTTAAGGTACTGCTTTAATGTTAAAAGCCACATAATAAGCATAAAATTATATTCTGCATCTTTCACTTACTATGTGTCCATAACACTGGACACATAGTAAGTTATTTAACACTGAATCTCAGTGTTCTCAAAACTCCATAAAATAAACCTAATGATATCTTAGGCTTAGGTAAAGGTTGTTGGCAGAATTTTTTCTAACCATTTTAAAAAATCATCTGAAATATCTTAAACATAAAGAGTTTAGTTTGATTCAGTGAACCGGAAACTATGGGAAAATATTTGACAAACAGTTTACATCTATTTATCTGTCTGTACACACATATGTGGATGTATATATATTTGTATCAATATTTGCAAATTTGTAGCAAACTATTATTTGAGAGAAACAAAGCCTGGACTTTGTTTTGATAGTGTGACAACACATGCACTTAGAATTCCACCTGAAAATGCAAAAAATTTAAATTTTCTCTAAAGAAATATTTTCTACTGTCACTATCTTTCTATGTTAATAGCATTATGATAACATGTAAAACAAGTTTAAGTAAAAGTAAGATTTAGTTTTAATAATTGCTTAAAAGGAAACGGTATGACAGAGGTATACTGATGATCTTTACACATTAAGCAGTTGGTCCACGTTAAGCAGTTGGTCGGCTTTTACAAGATTAATTTTGATAGGGATATAGGTAAGCCTCATTTTAGATGAACCAATGGCTTTGATCAGCCCATTATGTGGACGGTGCGTCCCACTCTTCACGATAGGTTAGATGAACCTTGGCTGTTCCAACGGACAGATTATCTGTTATAACAAACTGCTAATAGAAGAGAGAACACCAGTACCCACATGCCACGTTCTACAGGCTGTGTACTTTGAGGGAACTCAAGTACACTGTGTAACGTTTCCTGAGAAGATTATATTTCCATTGCTCGTTTTCTGTAGAAAAAAAGAAGGGAGAAGAAATAGAAGCAGAAGGAAGTAGAAGGTTAAAAAAATATGACAGGTCTCTCTTTGTTTTTCTCTAACAGTCTCCTGCAGACAGATCTCAGAAGATTCACGCCGGTGATGAAGTGATTCAGGTCAATCAGCAAACTGTGGTGAGTTTGTTCATTGAGACTTCCGACTTCATATTCCCCTCTAGAACTTTTAAACTGTTTTGCATGCATTTAAAAAATTTGCAATTTATGTCCAATTTTCCATAATTTTAAGCAGTGCTAGGATGAACAGATTTGTGTCTACCTATTTGCTCATAGCTGATTTCCTTGAGATAAATTCATAGGGGTTTGAGTTTTCGTTATTCATGAGCAAGTGCCCTCTCCTCATTTTCTTTCCTTGAAGGTGGGATGGCAGCTAAAAAATCTGGTGAGAAAGTTGAGAGAGAATCCTACAGGAGTTGTGTTACTGCTTAAGAAGCGGCCCACGAGTTCCTTCAACTTCACTCCCGCCCCCCTGAAAAACCTACGATGGAAGCCGCCTCTGGTCCAGGTACTGTCACTGGTTGAAATCTTTCCTCTGGCATCGGAGCAAGAACAATGTCCAATATCCGATTTGTCTCCAAAAAGAAAGACTACACTTTGATTGGTTTCAGGAGCTTGTGCATGGATAATTGTCCTATAATCTTACTTATATGAAAATAGCCATGCTGGATTTGCATTGAACAGTATGGCAGCCACTAGCCACCAGTGTCTATTTCAACAATTAAAATGAAAGCTTCAGTTCCTCGGTCTCAGCGGCCACATTTCAGTGCTTGGTAGCCACTTGGTGGCGAGTGGCTGCCAGCACTACAGAAAGTTCCTTCTGGTCCTTTTCCTCTCTCGTTTCACACACGTGCTCACATAAAGGAATCCAGTTTGACCGCTGATCTTAGAGAGACCCGCATGGGGTTGAGTCCTCAGCATGGTTTAAAAAGGCAGGGGTGTGGAGCCCACCCAGCGGGGAGCTGTATCACTCCGTTGTTTAGATTTGGCAGTCTGGGGTGATAATAAAAAGCGCACTGGTCTTTAGTGAGTTTTATTATTTAAGTTCTCTACAAACAGTGCACTCCTTACCGCCTACACCTGGCTGGACCATGCACCCTGAGCAACCTCTTCCTTATGTCATCGGTTCTTAGTGTTTAATTCCTAAATCATGAATGAAAAGCAATCACATTTTAGTGCCCTTTCATAAGATTGAGATTTGCCATTTATATGTAACTTTCTGTGATTTTATTGTACATCTTCAAATGGAAGGAACAGCAGTGGTCTCAAGCCATCAATTTGGACACTTCGTGATACACAGAGCACTGGAAATATGCCTATGTGTGTACCTTAGGGCTGTGGAGGCACATAAAAATAAAGACCAGGATGTGGAGGGTGGAGCCAGGAAGGGGCACATAATTAAGTTCACTTTTTAAATAATAATGGGACACATCAATCACACCCCAGCTGCTTCTGTTTGGATGGCTCAGTATAAGGGGCACCATCTTTCAGTGGTTTTGGAATTCTCAGAGTGTGTTAAGTAACGTCGAAGAGGTCTTCACTGATGGTTGATGGAGTGCTTGCCACACAGCAGCTCTATCAGCTCCTTGGTGCAGGGGCGTAAATGTTAGGTTCTGAAGAAGGGGTGGTGGGTATGGACAGGTAGGTGAAGGAGCCTCCTCCTGAGGAGGTGGGAGCCCTTTGGAGCCTGGGAAACTAGGTGGGATTTGGGAGGCAGATGGGAGGCTGTTTGGTGGGGGAGAGGAGCGCTGTTCTTCAGACACACGCCCGCCAACCAAGGATGTGCTGCCATCAGGGAAGGGCGGTGCCCAGACAAGGTTTCCTAGAAGCAGAGTGTGTGACAGACATTCTTGTGAAAGCGATTTAGTGCCTGTGCTCCAGGTAAAGCTTGTCCGGGAGGGAGGGAGGCAGAATAAGAAGGGGAAGCCAGCAGATGCTCTCTCAGGTAGAGTTCAGTCTTGGCCTGTTACCCAGGTGTAACCACACAGCACGGGCACTGGTAGCTGTACTCGGGGTGGCAGCTGTCCGCTGAGGACAGTTTTCCAGAGAAGGGGGCAGCCGTGAGCTTTTAGCAACAGACACTCACAGCAGCCGGGTTCACTGACTGACCAAGGGCTCTGGGTAGACACCACAGCGCTCCTGTAAGAATAAGTAGACCAGACTCTCTGGGGCAGAGGGTGGGAGAGAAAGCTGGACCAGTGGACTGAGCTGGATGGGTGGGTCTAGAGTCCCAGGCTAAGGAGTATGGACTTCATCTCACAGGTAATTTTTGTCAACAGGTTGACAGTTGATTTTTACACTAATATTTGCATCAGTTTGCTAGGGCCACTGTAGCAAAGTACCAATGACAGGGTGACAGAAACAAAAGTTTATTCCTTCAAAAGTCTGGAGGCTAGAAGTCTCAGATCAAGGTTAGCTTCTTCCAGGGTCTCTCTCCTTGGCTTGCAGATGACCGTCTTCTCCCTGTCTTCATGTGGTCTTTCCTCTGTGTGTCTGTGTCCTGATCTCCTCTTCTTATAGGGACACCAGTCATACTGGGTTACGGCCCACCCATATGACCTCGTATTATTTTTTTAAATTTTTATTTATTTAATTTTTTTGGTGCGGGGGGAATGCGTGCTATGGGGCATGTGGGATCTTAGTTGCCTGACCCAGGGATCAAACCTGCGCCCCCTGCAGTGAAAGTGCAGAGTCTTAACCACTGGACCACCAGGGAATTCCCACATGACCTCATTTTATTTATTTATCTATTTATTTATCTATTTATTTATGTATTTATTTACTTTCTGCGGTACACGGGCCTCTCACTGTTGTGGCCTCTCCCGTTGCGGAGCACAGGCTCCGGACGCGCAGCCTCAGCGACCATGGTTCACGGGCCCAGCCGCTCCGCGGCATGTGGGATCTTCCCGGACCGGGGCACGAACCCGTGTCCCCTACATCAACAGGCGGACTCTCAACCACTGCGCCACCAGGGAAGCCCCCTCATTTTAAATTAAACGTGTCTTTAAAAATCCTATCTCCAAAGTACAGTCACATTCTGAACTACTCGGGGTTTGGGCGACACAGTTTAGCCCATGATACTACCTAAACACGAGAAACACCAGTTGGGAGCTGTTACATGTATAGGTGATGGGTAATGTGGTTCTGGGCGAGGCTGGGACGGGGCAATTCTAGTGAAAGACTAATGCAAGAGGCCATTTGGAGGAAGCATCAAGAGGACTCACAAAGCAGCACAGCACAGTGGACAGGAAGGGGCCCCGGAGTTGAACTCCGTGAGTCCAAATCCCACCTCTGCCACATCTTAGCTGTGGGACCTCAGATACGTATTTAGTATTTCTGAATCTCACTCCTAATTACTCATGTCGACAGCGAAGGTTTTGGGGTAGGGGTGAGGAAGGTAGGCAAGGCAAGGAAGAAGCAGATGTGAAATGTGGCAGTGAACCTGGGTGGCAATACCAGTGACAAAAATTAGAATGTCAGGAAAGAGCCATCTGGAAGGCAGAGATGATAGGTCTTCTGGGCAGCACTGAGTTTGAAGTGACAGGAAAATTCAGGTGGACGTGTTCAGAAGGGAAGTGAAAATTATATCTAAGTATAGGCTAGAGTTAGTTCCTTGACCTATGGAAATTCACTTAAGAAGGGGCATGCTTCCTTTTTCTTTGGTTTTGTCTATCTTCCTGTCCGGTTCCACTAACTGTGCAATTTGGGGGAAGAGGTGAAGGTGAGGCATGAGACACCTAGCTTTGCTTCTGACCCAGGGAGGGAAAACCGTCAAAAGGTAGAGGCCGTTTTACAGCTTAGCTATTAGGCACCTGGTGATGTGTCCAGGATATTTTCAGAACGTGAACTTTGGTAGGCCAGTCCTCCATACAGTTTTCTCAGCCCCTGCCCTGGCTGTTGCCCTGTGTGTCATTCTTCAGGGGTCTGTATGCCTGGGTGCCCACTTCTGCTGGGAGAACTAGAGCATCTTTAGTTCTTGTCAACATCATTCATGTTGTCACTGAAAGGCTGTTCTTCACTCTGTTTTTAGGCCACAATCCTGGTAAACAAGGGTTATTGATTTAGAAGTAACCATCAGTGTTGGAGTTTTCGGAAAATGCCTGTTCTATGGAAATGCTCCAGTTTTCTTCTGTTTCTATTTGTTGAGGGCCTGGGTCCTGGCCCCATGTTTTCAGACATTGTCCAAGATTGTCAGAATGAGATGTGGATCAATTACATAGTTCGGAAAGTTGACAGACTGTGGTGTATGCTCTAGGAGACTGTTTCCCTGTGCCTCGGCATCTCTCCCCAAAATGGGGCTGTCTCTCTGTGAGCACCGGCTACTACCGTCCTCCCAAACCCTTAGACTCCCATTCCCACTCTCACTTCCAGGAGATAGGGGGTCTTCCATCCGTCACCACCTGGGCTGGATAGGGCGTAGGTGTCCTTTTATTACTCCCCGGGGTCTAGCACTGTCCTCACGTGCTGCCTCCCACTGGCCTTCACCCAACATCTTCGTGCCCTGACTCATTTTCTTGTTGTTTCTTTACCAACCAGAAAAGGCCAATCATTGCTGTTAGATTGTAGAAGCGATAGGATTGAAGGTCTCACACAAGATTTTAAAATATTTTTTAAAAGCTGTGTGGATTTTAAATTTAAAAAATTAACTTGTGTGTATGTGTATAATACTAAATTAGACAGCATAAGGTTGGGTACTTACTATGCGACGAGCCCTGTGCTAAGCCCGTTACATGTATTACGTTACCTAATTCTCACAGCTACCCTGTGTTGCTACTATCTTTGTCCCTGTTTATTCCCATTCTATAGAAGGGGCACAGAGAAGTTGAGTGATTTGCCTGGAAGATACACACCTAATCAGAGGTATAACCAAGATTGCACCCAGGCAGTCCGAATTCCGAGCCCATACTCCTAGTGAGTGGTAGCATTGTTAGTAATTAGTGTGAACTAACTCATTCTGTCCTCACTGCAGCCTTACGTGAGAGGCATTGTCAGTATGGCTGTTTTTCAGAGGAGGAAACTAAGGCTTGGGAGTTTAAGTGATTTGCTCAGAGCTGGAATTCTAACCTGCCTGACACCTGGCTCCTGGGCCTCTGCCTTTCTTTCACTATGCACCTAGGCTTTCAGAACTCTTGGTGAATGGTTTATATATACAATGGAATACCACTCAGCCATAAAAAAGAATGAAATAATGCCGTTTGCAGCAACATGGAAGTACCTAGAGATTATCATACTAAGTGAAGTAAGTCAGACAGAGACAAATACCATATGGTACCACTCATTCGTGGAATCTAAAAAATGATGCAAATGAGCTTATTTACAAAACAGAAACAATCTCACAGACAGAAAACAAACTTATGGTTACCAAAGTGGGGAGGGAGGGAGGGATAAATTAGGAGTTTGGGATTAACAGATACACACTACTATATATAAAATAAAAAGGTCCTACTGTATAGCACAGGGAACTATATTCAATACCTTATAATAACCTTTAATAGAAAAGCATCTGAAAAAGAATAAGTACATATATATATATATATATATATATATATATACACACAACTGTATCATTTTGCTGTACACCTGAAACTAACACAACATTGTAAATCAACCATACTTCAAAAAAACAAAAAAACTCTCGGTACATTTTGAGTGTCTCAAAGCAGAATACACGTTGGATGTTGCCAGTAGCTGCAGACACACAAATGACCTGGGCCCCTGTTTACCCAGGGGCTGGTGTTGGTTTTGGGGAGAACGATCTCCGAGGTAACGTTCTCGCTTTTACACTTACTCCCTTTCAGACCTCGCCTCCGCCCACGACCACTCAGTCCCCGGACAGCACGATGGATGCCTCACTGAAAAAGGAGAAGCCAGCCATCCTGGATCTTTATATCCCTCCTCCACCGACCGTTCCCTACTCCCCCCGGTATGTCGGTGCCCATTTCTGTGGTGTGCACGTCTCCTTGCGTGGAGGTGCTAGTGGTGGTGTGAAGACCACGAGTATCTCGAGAGGAGACGCTGCTGACACTCCAGTGTGTTGGGGATGAGTCTTGAATCCACCGTCAAAAAGTATCGCCCTGGGTGTGGGCGTTGGGGAATGGGTGAAGGGGGGTCGAAAAGGACAGACTTCCAGTTACAGGCGAAGTCCTGGGGGTGTAACGTACAGCACGGTGACTGTTGTTAACAATGTTGTGTATCTTTCGAAGTTGCGGAGAGAGTAGATCTTAAAAGTGCTCATCACAGGAGAGCAAGAATTGGGAACCACGTGTGATAATTGTTTTGCCGTACATACGTAAATCATTACGTTGTACCTCTGAAATGAATACAGTGTTATATGTCGATTATATCTCAATGGAACCAGGGGTAGGGGAAGTGTGATCCTTTAGGGGGAAGTGTAGGAACAGATCTAGTTTTATGGGCCTTGAAGCCAGCCAGTATGATGGGGAGGGGGCTGATGAAAGCATGTGCTCTCGGGGACTGCATTGTTTTAATTCTTCACTGGGCATTGAAGTTTCATCAGCTACACGGTAAATTCATCTCTGGTGCAGAAGATAATAAATATTTCTGTGAGGTTGATTAAAGTTACAGTTTTATTTTGCTGAGAGGGATGTGTTCTTCGTAGGACTTAAAAAATGTGAAAATAGGTGTGGATGGGCCATGTGTGTTTATGTGTGTGTGTCTATTACAAATTCTTCAGGATCATTACTTGCTTAATGGCTATCTTAAATGTTTATGGTAAAATGAGGACAGTTATGCTAGATGTTATATAGGGGGTGATTAAGGTATGAAAATATAGGCTTATTTATATCATCTTACATATTTACATATGCTGGTAAAAGTAGAGAATCTGGCTCGTTTATGAAACGTACATTTACTGAGCGTTGGGCCTGATTTACCATCTTATGCAAAACAGATGTAGTTCTTGCCCCCAGAGAACTGCCAATATCTTAGTCAACTGTTCAAGAATAAATTGAGAAATACTTAATCATGCTGTAATATTTCATAAGACACAGTTTGGACTGAACTTACAGTGACTTTTCACTTCAGGGTGGAGTTTTTCATTTGTTTGTTTTTGTTTTAAGCTGCGCTCTTTGCTTCTGCTGTGTTTCTTTCCTGGGCACAAAGAAAAATTAGTGGCATTTTCCTCTTCCTTGAGTCTTGGTTTGCCCAGAAGTTATTATAGCATGTAGAGCACTGGCTGCGGTGATCAGGGGCTTTCTGGTTGGTAGACCAGGCTCTTCCCTGTATTCACAGACCAGAGTCCTGTGGTCGCGAGATCTGAATTGTGTTTAAAATTACAAGGAGTTGTTGCTTTTGCACATAGAGAGCAGAGGGTTTCACTGATAGAACAAACCAGTGTGTGGACTGTTCTATCAGAAACTGTAGGCTGTAGGGAGGATGGCCCCGACTCCCCTAATCCTGAATAGTTTTGTCTGGGTCTCAGTGAGGGGTCACAGGAGCTGTGGTAAGAAGGGTATGTACGTAGTAAAGGTGAAAGGGATCTGGCGCTTCGCTTCTATTGGGGGAAACACGTGGGCACACGCACACCATTAATGAAGGATATTTTATTTTATTTTTTTTAAATTTATTATTTACTTATTTATTTTTGGCTGTGTCGGGTCTTAGTGGATCTTGTGGCACGCGGGATCTTCGTTGAAGCACGTGGGATCTTTCGTTGTAACGCGGGCTTCTCTCTAGTTGTGGCGTGCGGGTTTTCTCTCTCTAGTTGTGGCGCACAGGCTCCAGAGCATGTGGGCTCTGTAGTTTGCAGCACGCAGCCTCTCTAGTCGAGGCGCGCGAGCTCAGTAGTTGCGGCGCGAGGGCTTAGTTGCCCCGCGGCGTGTGAGATCTTAGTTCCCTGACCAGGGGTCGAACCCGCATCCCCTGCATTGGAAGGTGGGTTCTTTACCACTGGACCACCAGGGAAGTCACTGAAGCATATTTTATTAGGAATGAAATGTGCAGATGGTCACAGAGAACAAGTGGTGAGTCATGAAAGCTTTGTGAATGGGGAAGTTATATGCCAGGTTTAAAAGTATAGAAGAAGGTAGATTCATGGTGGGGAAAGGTCATGCAGGCAGCAGGCTCACTGGGAATACCAATAGGCAAGGCTGATCCTTAGACTGGTTTTGAACTCAGTGGATTCTGGGTTGATTCTAGTAGTTTTGCAATGAGCCCCTAATGGAATTCACTCAGTGCCAAAAATTTAACCAGCTGGTAATCTGGACTCAGCTAAAATTAATTTTAAGTTTTATTATAAGCTGACATTTAGAAAGAATGAAGTTGCCAGCAGTGGTCCACTTTTTGCTGGTTTCTGTACTTTGTTTAGAAAATAGACACTTTCCGTTGGCCAGTCTAAAGGCCCCTTTGTAATTTTGGACATCATTTTCAAATCTAACAACTGCCATCACACATCAAGTGTCTTCTTTGCTGGATCTTGGCAAAGATACTACTCTTGGCATGAGAAAAACGGTTCAGTAGATCATACCTTCACTTGTGGTGTCTGTAGTCAGGAGGAGATTCAACTCTAGGGCAGATGTACAGGAAAACCAGAGCTAGCCTTCCAAGATATATGTACAAATATGAAAAGAAAAAAAAAATCTCATTTTCTCTTATTTAGTAGGATCATGGTATTCACTCTTATTTAATAGGATCTCTATGTATTTGAGAAGCAACTGTGATTGAAAAAGTGTTGCTTTTTCCTCCAGAGGGAAAGGAGGATTTGTTTTCTTCTGTGTGCTAGAAGCAGAATGTATCCTATAATTCTTTAGTGTGAGAGGATCTTCGTAAGCAACTTAATTATTGCCCTCTATCTTGCAGGGAAGAGAATGGGAGTTCCCTTTACGGATTCAGTAAATGTAAACAGCCACAGCCTGGCCCTAAGGGTTCTGAGTCCCCCAATTCCTTCCTGGACCAGGAAAGTCGGAGACGGAGATTTACCATCGCTGATTCCGATCAGTTGCCCGGGTATTCTGTGGAAACCAGTATTCTGCCCACAAAAATGAGAGAGAAAACACCATCCTATGGTACGTTGCTGAGAGTTTGTTTTGTTTCTCTTCCCCTCCCCCTTCCTTATTTGGAACTGTTGGATGACTTCGGCAGACTTGAAGGGTAATCCAAGGAAAACATAAACCTCAATGAAATTCTAAGTATGAGACCTTTGTTCATCTTTCTAAAGCTAAGGCTTGTTGAGTCATTACACTGCCTGGCATCCAAGCCCAGCGGGGTGAGATCAGGTTACAGTTTCAACTTTCAGTGCCTGCATTTTAACTTGGAGCTGCTTTGCTCCGTGGACCCACAGACGCAAGTTCAGCATGCCTCTGTCCTAATGGTTTGCTGTGGAAATACAGTGCTTTAAAATACTTTTCTTATTTTTAAACTGTGTTATTTTGCTTATGCTGAAGTGAGTGTGATGTCAGGGTGGGGGAGGGTCTAGTTCTAAATATAGGGAAGGATTCTCTAAAGTCCAAAAACTGTCGGCTTTTCCTTTTCCTTCCCCTCCCTCTGAAGGCAAGCCCCGGCCTTTGTCCATGCCTGCGGATGCGAGCTGGATGGGGATTGTGGACCCTTTTGCTAGACCTCGAAGTCATGGGAGGAAAAGTAAGTTTAACTTAAGCAAACTGAAAAGCACCAAACCTGGAGTCCAAAGCCCAGACCCTCGTTTCAGCCCTTTTGTGCTCTAATGACCATAAAATCATCTTCTCATCTGCAAAATCAGGGGGTGCTGATGGTCCTACGTATGTGTAGAATGGCAGAAATATATATTCCTAGGTAGTGACTGTAAATCTAAATAGTATTGTGTGCTTTAAAAAGGCTGTAGACACTGATGGTCCAATTTCTAAACACATAGAAATACACTATTCGTTAAACAATCTCATCGTCAATTTTATGACTACTATTATTGGGACCTTGATTTTTGACCAACAGACATGGGTGTTTTTCTCCCCAATCCTTCTTGTGTTAGTCCAATTTTATGACTATTGTTATTGGAATCTGTTTGATTTTTGACCAACAGACATGGGTGTTTTTCTCCCCCAATCCTTCTTGTGTTAGAGAGTAACTACGATTGGAAAAGAAACTTGTGTTTAATTTACTCTGTAATCAAAGTTACAGGTGATAACACTTGTCTTTTGAGGAAAATGTTTATAAATAATCTTATTTTTGGCCAGATTACATTCGATTGTCAGGACATCGTAACATTGCTTTTGTGGTGCTGAAACAAAGAGCTGGTGAAAAGTTAGAGAACAGTAGGCCTTAGATTGTAAAAGGAAGAAGAGAAAAGTTCTGGAGGCCTAACTTCCAAAGTGATCAACCCCTGACACTTCCCTGCGACTTGGTAAAGTTTGTCACCTAAGTCCCCAAATCACCTGGGTTACACTAACTTGGAAAAGGGAGAAGTTGGCTTCTAAGGTCCAAGATACCCTTAGTTGACACGAAACTCTGTGGAGCAGACAGCAGGGGGCAGGGCAGTTCTTTGTTTAGATTGAGAAATGTCCACATCTACTTTGCCATTCTTTTCAGCATTTGAAGTCCCCGATTTAGACTTTTATTTCCTTTAAGGTTGAGATATGGGGTGTGGGGGTGGGGAGTGTGAGGTCAGGAAAATGGAAAGATGCTTGACCTCCATCCCACCTTCCACATTTTTTCTGGTGTTATCATTTTAGAAAGAAAGGTACCTGCATAATGGGCAATTAAAAAAAATAACAGCTTTTTTTGAGAGACAACTCGCATACCATAAAGCTCACCCTGTTAAAATGTACGATTCAGTGGTTTTTAGTATATTCATAGAGTTGTGCTAATTCCAGAATATTCTATCACTTCAACAAAAATTGCCTGTAAGCAGTCATTCCTCATTCCCTCCTCCTTCAGCTCCTGGCAACCAAAAATCTTTCTTTTTTTTTTTTTTAACTTTCATAGTCATCTTTTTTTTTTTTTAAATAAATGTATTTATTTTTGGCTGCTTTGGGTCTTCATTGCAGTGCACTGGCTTCTCATTTTGGTGGCTTCTCTTGTTGCGGAGCGCGGGCTCTAGGCACATGGGCTCAGTAGTTGTGGCTCGCGGGCTCTAGAGCGCAGGCTCAGTCGTTGTGGCGCACGGGCTTAGTTGCTCTGCGGCATGTGGGATGTGGGATCTTCCTGGACCAGGGCTCAAACCCACGTCCCCTGCATTGGCAGGCGGATTCTTAACCACGGCGCCACCAGGGAAGCCCTGAAAATCTACTTTCTGTCTCTGGATTTACTTTTTCAAGGCATTTCATATAAATAGACTCCTACAAAATGTGGCTTTTTGACAATGGGCACTTTTTAACGTAACTTTTCCCCTTTGATTACAGAAACAAAACAAATTGTTGGAAAACCTCTAGAAGGTACGAGAAAACTAATCTGTAATCTGCTTCCCCAGCCTAGAAATAATCGCTCTGAATGTTTTGTGTATCTCCTAGTTGTTCCTATATTTACGAATTATACGCTTAGAAAAATGTGCAAAATGGAATAGATAGATATTCAGTAATACTATGAAAGGGGAATGTTAACAGGTGTATTTTTGGTAATAGCTGCATTAGTAATCCATCTTATGGCAATAGCACCTCTTCATTCAGTCCGCTGTGGTTGAGCATTTAGGTTATCTGTGTTTTCCCCCGCAATTGTTAATATTGCTTCAATAAGCATCTTGTACGTAGTTCATTGTCCGTTTTTAAAAGTGGAATTTCTGGGTCAAAAGAATGCTACATGTTGCCAGGGTGCCCTGCATTTTATGTTTCTATTCAGTTTCTTACCCCCCTGCCCCCCATCCCAGGGGGTCTACTGGCTTTTAGGGTGGGATCATTCTTCCTTCTCCAGAAGTGTCCCAAGCCTTGCAGAGCATTAAAATCTTTGAACCCCATCCATTAAAGGTGAAGAGTGCCTGCCCTGCATTCAGAGTGATAACCAAAGGCATCCCACATCCTAAATGCTCCTGAGGGATGCTCGGGAATAAGAACCACAGTTCCAGGGGCATGTGCTCTGGGCTGCAGGCATTGAGCAGGGACAGATGTGGAAGGACTGATAGAATTATAAGATTTTCTCTCTTTGGTTTTTTGATTTCAAGTGAAATTATGAAAATTCTACACTGATTAAAAAGTGTGGGCTCTCTGATTCTGCTCTGCCCCTGTGTTCCCTCTCAGATGGAAAAACAGCCTGAAGTGTGCACCTACCTCTTCTGTTTCTGCTTTCTCAGCACCCAGTGGTGCGGGCCTGGCCGCCTCGGGGGGCCTGGTAGCCCATCCCTGGGAGGAGGGCAGGGTGTGCTGCCACCTTCAGAGGCAGCCCCATGCAGAGGATGGGTATTTTAACGGACTACTTGTGGGCTTTGTCTGAAAACAGGTGAGGACGGCCTTTGCCGGTATTTCAGTAATGAGCGGATCTCTCCGATCATCGAAGAAAGGTCATCCCCCCCATACCGTTTCTCAAGGCCCACGACCGAGAGGCAGCTGGTCCGAGGTGCAGACTACATCCGAGGCAGCAGGTGCTACATCAGTTCAGATCTCCACAGCAGCGCCACAATTCCATTCTCGGAGGAAGGGACCAAAAAGAAAGCCAGCTCCTCGGCAGCCAAGTCCTCTGCTCCAGAACCGTCCCTGCTGGTCAGCTGGTTTACTCGCCTGAAACTGTTGACTCACTGAGCCCTGCGTTCCCGGGAGCCCTCCCTGTCTCCTGCTACCAAGTGCCTTACTTCCTCAATCAGCAACTTGTTCTGATTTTCATCCACAGTATTATGCAGCGACCATATGCGATTTCGTGGGTTTTCTTTTTTCTTTCTTTTTTTTTTTAGAAAGTTGTATACTGCACTTGGAATTTTGAAGTCATTGGATGGGAACAAATCCAGAGAATCTTAGATGCTGGCTTATGGAGGCCAAAGGAGAGAAATGGGGAGAGTCCGCTTTTTTTTGCTTCCTTAAGAGAACGCGGAGACACACTCCCTAAACCAGAGCCTTGGCCAGGAATGTTATCGTCATTATGAGGATCTGGGCCATTGTTCTTTTTAGCGGGGGGTGGGACTGCAGTTGGTGGCCAGTGTCACACAGATGTGTTGGTTTTTGGTCCAATTTCTTCACCTGAAAAAGCCAGTGGAGAAAACAGTTTTGTTTTGATTTTTCAGGCTACATACCACAGGTGTAAGTGTAGCAGCTTTGACTTTGAAATAACACGTGGGAAGCATCTGATGCTCTTTCAGAGCAGAGGTTTGAGTGTAGGCCAGTTACACTTAGTTAATGCCCTTTTCAGAACAGTCTCAGTGTAAGTCAGTTAATACAGAAACACGTGAAAATGTTTAGATAGGGCTTACTACACACAAAGAAGTTTATGGTTATTTGTGAAGGGTGTTGTATATTATTGTCTTTAAGGGAAAAGAAGCTATAAGATTTGCTGACAGCCAAAGTATCGTTGAGAAAAATGAAGCAACCATACTTAGGTTTATGAGAGAGACATCAGTTTGCATTTTGACCTGTTCAGTGACTGTCTTCTAGAAAAGAATGGACAGTGCTTCAAAATTGTACACATTTTGCTAATTAGAAATCTCTTGGAAAATGTCACGGTCACTCATTTTCAACTAGCATCAGGTATTTTGGAAAAGTGTGTCTGGATATTAACTCTTGTTTAAACTGAATGTATGATATTTTGCTAGAATGGAAAAGTACTATCTTGTTAATTTAAGTGTTTTAAATATAGTTGTATATTTTTCTTACTCTTAGTCACATGTAATTGATATATTTCTGTTTTGTGTCCTACATGAAAAAAGTGTTCAAAATGTTTTCAGGTTTACCAGTGACCACCTTGGCTGTTGCCACTGTGGGCACTATTGTTAAAAAAACAAAATAAACCCTCCCAACCATTTTAGGATTTTATGCATTAGAAATGGGGGTGTTGAGGGAGCGTGTGTAAAGTAAAATTACATTTGGAGAATTTTCTGAGCTATATCCCTGGGCAAAGCTGGTATCTCCTATTCAAAAATATCTTCCCCTCACCCCTTGAATTGTCTACTTTGCTGAACTGCCTGAAATTGGAGATTGCTTGGGGTTAACATCTTCCTTGTAAAATGCCTCTGGTGGGACTTCCCTGGCGGTCCAGTGGTTAAGACTCCATGCTTCCAATGCAGGGGGTGCAGGTTCAATCCCTGGTCGGGGAACAAAGATCCCACGTGCTGCACGTTGCGGGCAAAATATTAAAAAAAAAAAAAAAAAAAAAAAAAGCCTCTGGTGGGGTTAAGGGAGCTGGCAACCACTCGCATATTAGTGTGAATGAATTCAGTCAGGCTGTTTTCCTGTCAACCGACCCCCAAGGGAACTGCAATGAAGATATAGTTGTTTCATGGGGAATGAAAAGGGGTTTGGCCAGTGGAGGAGAGAATAGGCTTGGAATGCGTGATTCATTGGGTGCTTGACACTATAGTATAAGGGCAGAGCAGGGTCGGGGAAGTCTGGTAACAGGGCACTGATGTGACTAGGAGGGACTATGAAAAAGCGGGGAGAGCCAGCCCTCGCCCTCTGACTGTTAGCGTGGCCCAGAAAATGGGGTGGCAACTCTTCCTCTCACCCTTCCTCTTACTCTCCAGATCACTCTCAGATCCCCTGAGTAATGAGTTTAGTGGTTTTGGAGGTCTTAGCTGGAGGTCAGCCCCTTTTCTGTGGAGTGAATGTCCTTTGTGATCAAATGACCATCCTCAAATGAATTTTCAGTGCCCAACTCAAGTACAGTAACTGTGCCCAATCAGTGTTTCTCAGACTGTTCCCTGAAGTCCTAAGGGGAGGCCACAGAAGTTTCTGGGTTCTCTACCTTCAATCAGCCTCCACCCCTTCATTTTTATTTTTATTTGGGATTTTCTCCTGAAATGTGTTTGAGAAATAGATTGCTGCTTAAAGAAGTTTCTATGTATCTTTACTGTTGACATATATAATTAGTAGTTTAATGCTAATTTCTTAGAAATTAATGGAAACTGCTTGCCTCAGTAATAATCCAGGGTTAATGGTAGACATGTGTGAACATATGAAGATGTAGAATGACACTTTTTGACATGATCCTTTAAAACAGTGATTTTTGATTACTACCAGACCCAACTCAACACTAACCCTTTTTTATAGTAAATATTTTATAATATCACTACAGTCATCAAATGAAATTCATGGATGATAAAACCTTCTTTCATACATAAGAGCATCATCCCTATTTGCTGTTCCAAAATGAAATAGGTACTATAACTGACCTCTATACATCACCATCAATATAATGTCCTAACTGAACATAAACAAATATACATATATAAATATTTTGTAATGAAATCATTATTTTAATATGTAAATGCTCTAGCATGATTATATTACAAGATGTATGAAATAATGTAACAAAGCACATACTTGTATCTGTATATGAAATCACCATGCCTGTGGCAGCTACACAGGCCTGCTGTGCTGGCAACTCAACGTCAGAAATGGGATTGATGTCAGCAATGCAGTTTTCTAAAATGTGGCCAATTTTTATTTTTTAATTGAACGAACAATTCTTTAAATTCTGTAGTGCTTTACAATTTTTAAAAGTTTCACACACGTGATTTCATATAATCCCATAATAATCCTTTTTTTCCCCTACCCCTATCCTGCCCCTTCTCCTTTCCCTCTCCTGACTGATAACTACTAGTTTCTTCTCTATATCTGTGGATCTGCTTCTTTTTTGCTTTATTCACTGGTTTGTTGTATTTTTTTAGATTCAGCATATACATGATATCATACAGTATTTGTCTTTTTCTGTCTGACTTATTTCACTTAGCATAAAGCCCTCCAGGTCCATCCATGTGGCCACAAATAACAAAATGTCATTCTTTTTTATGGCTGAATAGTATTCCATTATATATATTTTATATATATATATATATATATATATATATATAATATATGTATTGCACATCTTCTTTGTCCATTCATCTGTTGATGGACGCTTAGGTTGCTTCTATACCTTGACAATTGTAAATAATGCTGCTATGAACATTGGGGTGCTTGTATCTTTTTGAATTAGTGTTTATGGTTTTTTTGGATGTATACACAGGAGTGGAATTGCTGGGCCATATGGTAGCTCTAATGCTTAGTTTTTTGAGAAAACTCCATACTGTTTTCCACAGTGGCTGCACCAATTTATATTCCCACCAACACTGTACGAGAGTTCCCTTTACTTAAAATGTGGCCAATTCTTGCTAAGGTTCTAGACAAAACAGAATTCTATAACAGTTATATCCATATAGTGTTTACTGGGTGCCTGGCATTGTTCTAAGTACTTACCTAACAAATTTATGTGGCGGGTGCCACTGTTATTCCCATTTTACATATGAGGGCACAGGGCTGATAGGGCAGAGCTAGGATTAAAATCAAAGCAGTCTAGCTCTGGCAACCTTGTTCATCATCACTTTGCTGTACACTTTCCCTCAGTTTATAGAATAATTGCATTCCTGAAAAATCCAATGCATATTCAAACTGGGCTAGAGGTTCCCTGTATGTTTATATATAAAACAAAATTAGATTCTAATTTTCAACTAAACTCAGATAATTCTAAACTGGCTTTCCATCTACATGAATATTTGGTCGGGCAATTGATAGTTGTGCTGATGGGAGGGGTCTGACCTGTAGAGCTTGTGTAGCATCCGCGTTCCGTCTGTTGAATGCAGATGGTAGCCCTCCTATCATTAGCGCCTCAGAAGCCCTTACAGTTCCAAAACCACATCTAGGGGGCAGTACCATCCCTTTGAGAACAAGTGGTTTAAAAGAAATCCTGTTTCATCTTTGAGTAGAGTTCCAGTCTTCATGTTAAATATTTGTCCATTTTCTGTCTTTACTTCTGTCTCCTCAGTTCTCTCCCCACCACACCGGAAGTTTTAGAACCTGTTTTGTGAGGGTTGTTTTCGTTTTTGTTTTTCCATCTGAAAGTCAAGAAGTTGTTGCCTCCTCTGGCCCAAAGACCATCAGTATTCCCAAGTTTCAGTTTATTAGCCCTCAGAAAACTCTTAAGAGGTATTTACTCTTAACTTTTCATCCCCCAAAGAGCTGGTGTAAGTAAATGTCTTTGACACAAGTATGTTGCTTTTTTGCCACCAGAGGCATAAATGGGATGGCCATGCAGGCCTAATTTGGATGTTTCCACCTATTGAATCTGTGGTTAGTCCTTACAGAGAAGTGGGTCACATTTTGCTCCCACTCCTTTTTTTCGTTTTTTTTTTTTTTTTACTTTTTGTCCTTTAGGTACCATTTTTTTTTTAAACGTCTTTCTTGGAGTATAATTGCTTTACAATGGTGTGTTAGTTTTTGCTTTATAACAAAGTGAATCAGCTGTACATATACATATGTCCCCATATCTCCTCCTCTTGTGTCTCCCTCCCACCCTCCCTATCCCACCCCTCTAGGTGGTCACAAAGCACAGAGCTGATCTCCCTGTGCTATGTGGCTGCTTTATGTACCAGTTTATCTCTTTCAAGTTAGAATGGATTCATCAAATTTGTCTTAAAAGATTAAATCATTTGATGCCTTTACATTACAAGGGGTGACACCTGGCTTCTCATGACAGTGGCACCCAGTCAAGTAGCACCTTCCAAGTGTGCCTGCTCCCCCAACACCCCGCCGCCACCCCGGTACCATCCATGTGATTGAATCTTGTAGCGCTGTAGACAAACGCAGAGCTCGAGTTAATTTAGGAAACACATGCACGACATGCCCATTCTTTTCCTAACCCCAAACATCCAAGACTCACGCAAGCCATGAACATGTTATTTCAGCTGTCAGAGTAATGAAACCAGTAGCCAGGAGGTGCAGGTAATTCAAGATTATTGAAGACACAGCATCTTAGCAGGGCATTTGAGTAGGTGTGTGTGGTTTTTCAAGCTCATATTTTAAAACTGAACATCATTCAAATGAATTGTTTAAAATGACTTCTTGTAATATATTATGAATATACTGGAAAGTCAAAGTAGAATGCCCAGTGAGAGCATAATTGTCAATGCAATAGACAAGGTTATAGAAAGTGTACCTGTCATGTCCTTCTTAGGGTCTGTATCTGTACTCATGTTATTTTCCCAGTGACTGGCTTTAATCAGATTCTCCCATCTCCTGACCTCAGTGCAACTGTCTTTTTTTTTTTTTTTTTTAACATCTTTATTGGGGTATAATTGCTTTACAATGGTGTGTTAGTTTCTGCTTTATAACAAAGTGAATCAGTTATACATATACATATGTTCCCATATCTCTTCCCTCTTGCGTCTCCCTCCCTCCCACCGCAACTGTCTTCTTAACTGCCCACTCTTATGAAGAGAATCACTGCATCATTTCCTTTGGGATGAGACTTCTGCCTGCCACTTCCTTGGAGATTATATGGAAGGTGGGCACCTTGAAAATGAAGAAACTCCATTTGATAGGGCCACTTTTTGGGTTGGCCAATGTCATCTGATTTTATTCACCTTTGGAGTTACCCTGCTTGGGTATTTTTTGGATATATTCTTGCTAATCACCTGGAAGGTGAGTATTTAAAAATCTATTGATTAAAAACTGGATTAAAGAGAACACAAAGCTGACCTTTCCAGTGTTTCTCCTGGATCTGACGGCCCTGGAGTCACTGCGCAGAGGAAGACAGTTCCCAGCCCGGGCTTCATGTCATGCTTGCAGCTGAAGATTACACATGCTCTCCTTTCCCAAGCTTCCTGTTTCTCTGAAAAGTTGTGAAACTGAAGCTGTAGGGGAAAATTAAGAAATAAACCTCAAAGGTATTTTAAAAAGAAGAAGGGCTACATCACCCCTCAAGTCCAGGGATGTTGATATTCTCATCATTTTCTCTCTCCTCGCCTGGAGCGTTGTAAACACTCAGATGTTT